AATCTTTCTGTTGAAAGAGAAAAACAAATATTCAATTCATTCACTAAAGAAGAGAAAAATGTGATCAATGTTACCCTAATGATTGATACATTGACACTAACCGAACAATTTAATGGAACTTAATAATTAATTGACGAATTGAAATAAGTTGAGCAAGTCAACACATTTCTAGTAAGAGATTTTCGTTTAAATTAGTCATTTTTTACCATGAAACAGAGTTTCGGAAACTATAAAAACTGTTTCTCACCCAAAACCCTAGGCGACCGAAAGTACGGAAATCAGATAAGAATTTTATAGAATCTTATATGCTCCAGTCAGGAGAAATGCATACTGTAATTATAAGGTTCTAATAATTCGCAATATAAGAATTGAATAAGATTTCGGTAAGTTTTTAGTTTTTTACTTTTCTTATGAGATTCTTATAGCCTTATAGTACCTTATAAAAAATGTTCAGAAATATCAAAGTTCAAAATTTTGCTCTCGTCCTCTAGGCAATTTGTTTTTTGTTTTTATTTTTGACTATACGAATTGTATAAATTTCTATAGGAATCTTATAAGCACAGTATGCATTTCTATCGACTGTAGCATAAGATTCTTATAAGGTTACTATAAGATTCTTATCTGACTCTATAAGATTGCTATAGAAATCCTATATAAGATTTGATCTCCAGGGAAAGTGCTAGCAAATCTTATGTTCTGTCTAATTTTTAACCAGACTTGACTTGGAGAAAAATAATTTCGAGGGTTGACTTGGCTTGACAATTTTTTTAGTGACTTGACTTGTGAATTGTCCAGCTGTGGAAATAACCTATTTTCATATGCATCGACGTGATCCACGGCTGGTCGTTAACAAAACTGCAAAAAACCAAGAAATTTATGATAGTATCGAATAACTAAATGATACTAGTAACGGAAATAAATATTTAGCATCCATTCTCCTCACAAGTAGGCGAGTGGACAGCAAAAGAGAGAAAATGAAATCTATCAAGAGTTAGATAGATGAGTTGCATGTAAGAAAATTTTTCTTGAACTCTCAAATATTCTGAAGAGATTTTAATAGAATTGACTAAGTATGTTGTCATTGCGAGCATATTTGAACGATAAAGTATTTAGGAATGATTGCTCTTTCTATAATTGAAAGAAGATAGTTATTTGCATGATGAACAATGTATAACACGTAAAACTGGTGATAGAAAAAGATTATTATTAAAGCAACTGGCACTAGTTTATAATTTGATAGAAACACTGCTGGGAGAATTACTTTGTATAATGAACGTCGTACTTATTATCAATCTAATATTCAAACTAATATAAAATGTGGTAAAACTGTTGTGAGAACTACTGTTCATATGATGTACATTAATTTTTTTTCTTCTCAAATACATTTGATATTTTCTGTTTTGAATAAAATTCGACAATTTTTTTGTTTTGGAAAAACTCCGAATGTTTACTTGATTTTTCGTAAGAATTTTTTTTAAAATTTTTTTCACTATTTAACTTTAGTTTCTAGATGGATAAACAAAAACTGATGAAAACACAGTCTTCATTACGAAGACCTCATAACAAATCAGAAGATGTAAGAGATTTTGTTTCCGAGCTTATTATATATCACTTTTAATAATGCGTCTATATCTTGATTTTTCTAGTCACATTTTCATCGTAAGAGATCTCGTTCTCCTATAGACCGTCGACAATGTGGACAGGGTGCTCGTTGGAGTGATGCGCCGTCTGCATTTTCATCCATATCAACGTATGGCATCACAAGTTCATCCTCATTTCGAACTAATCATCAATCACAGCCGAGAAAAATTTTTAAAGTAAAAGAAGAAAAAATAGATTCTAGTGGTTTCAAAATTTCTAATGAAGATCGAAAATATTATGATAAACAAGTAATCGATTTAACGTCATCATCTCGTGAAAAAACATTTATTGATTTTGTTGATAAAGATGTTGTTGAAACATTGGATGATTCAGACTCTGAAGGAGATAGTGAAAACGAAGGCGATGATGGAGGAAATGACGACGAACAACAACAGAACGAAAGAGAACCTTGTGTTACTATAAAAAAAGAAAAGAATTGCGAAGTGGAATGCAAATACAAAGCACCTGCAATTTCAACAGATACGACTGATAATTCACAATTACTTTCAGAACAGAATCAAGCAACTGAAAGTGAGCAAAGATTTCAAGATTTTCTACAAAATGATTTAGGATTAGATTTTTTGGCTAAAATTGAATGTAATGATGAACTATTAGCAACAACGTTGTCAAGACGAAGAACATAAATGGTATGTAGAGGAAGACTAAATATCATGTGGGTCTTCAAATCACTTATTAAAATTGATTGTTTAAACCTGCATTTATACAAACTAATAAAGCTTAAAATAAATTCTTAGTTAGAGATACTAACAGTAAACTTTATGATCAGTCGTATTAGTAAATCGATATTTTTGTCTTTTTACATCTTTCATAGCAAATGTCTATCTCTTTTTCTCTCGTTTTTTTCAGGTATACGAGTCGATATGCGATACATTATTTTTATTCTGTTTTTTTGTTTGTTATCAATAGGGAAAAATGACGTAAATTCCTCTTTGTTTTTTTGGTTAGAGAACCAGTGTAGATTAACTGTAGATGATACTAAAAAAATAAATTTTGAAGTGGAGATAGATTTGACAAAAATCACATTATTTAATTCAGAGTCAACATAACAGTTTAATGCGAAGAAAATATTTATTTTAATTAGACAAGAACCTAGTAATTTTAAATCACCATAACAATTATCACTTTTATGTAATATTCGCGGTTTCTCAAAAGAAATACAAACATGATAAAAACGCCAATAATTCATCCTCTCTGGTACTCAATATAGTACAACACCATGTTACACGAGGGAGAAAGCCAGCATTTCAAATTTTTCTTTAAAACAAGCCAGCTTTTGTATTCTTCTTGCTGTCTCTTTAGATACGTCGAACGAATTCTGTGAAAGAAAGGAAAAAAATAAAAAATGATCTTTCTTCTTCCGCTTCATTCCCATCAACGACCATCACATAATAAATAGAACACGTCAATGTCAGAACCGTCCATTATTCGATTTTTCTGTTTAAAAGAAGCCAGAATACACGTAAAAACAGTCGGTTTTGAACAGAGTAATCCCGTGCGTGAATGGAATCAACAGTCCACTATCACTTTATTATTTTTAATGAACTCCTTACTCAACATTTCATTCAACGCCTTCATAAAACATATTGCAGATTTTCTCAAAAGATGTATGTAGTTAAAAAACTGGTTTCATTGATTACACAATGTATAGTTCAAGCCTGT